TGATATAGTTAGTTAGTTAGTTTGTTTTGTCCGTTTGGTTAAACAGTGTGGTCTGTGTCTCTCTTTGCTGGTGGGCTATTGACGACGATCCAGGACGCGCACTGCCCGCAACGTTAGACGTCAGGCTGGCCGGTCCGGTATGGCGTCATCGCATATACTGTCTTTCAGGGATCGTCCCTCTAGCATCATTATGTGGCGAGGCTCACGACCATATATGAACCAGATGCGGAGACTCCGCACTTGGGCTTCCAGAAGACGCGGAGTATCGTTCTTGAGCCGGATTGCAGTAGTCCTTGGAACTAAACGTAAAGCCAGCCGTGTAAAGAGACACCCGGTCAGCTGACAGCCATGCCTCTTCGGGCTAGCCCGCAGACTAGGCCAGAGCCGGCCTAGCGTTGGCGCTGGGTAGATATCGTGTGGATTGCCACGGCAGGTTAGCCTCGGAGTAGTTACTTAGTGTCTCTCCGGAGTGTTCGGCGGTCGCCTCGCCTGTAGGTTGCCTCGTCTTCCAGTTCCATGCCACTCCGGACTCCGGTGCATTTCTGATATGCACGCCTCCCCAATTCTCATCCCCGGTGACCCGGGGTAAAACTTTCCAGCTGGCCCTAAGCTAATAGGCTTTCTCTGTCTAGTATCTAGATCGGCACCAATCTCTGCACGTCTCGGCTATCGTCCGGTCCTCTTCTCCACCAGCAATGGGGTTAATGCCTCATCCAGCCCCTTGACTGGCCCCTCGTGACCAACGACTCCAACGATTGTTGATGGCGTTGGACAAATGCCGGCTAAATATCCCCTCGGGTACCAGAGTCTTCCTCCTCTCGCTTAACCTTGTGGGTCCTGGAAACCGAGTTCCCTGGATCCTACCTGACTCATTCTTCCTCCTGGTTCGTCCGGGAGCCGACCTGAGGCGGGAGAATGAATGTGCTGATCCCATGCGGCGGCGGCCAGGGCGCCTGTCCACTGTCCAGTCACCAATACTGTGTATCTCTCCCACTTCCAAGCTTTTGCCCCTCACACAACTGGTCAGAGTTTGCTTGGGTTTTGAGTTGTCCCACCGGCAAAGTCTTCACTCTTCACCACCTACTCAGAACGGGGTAAAACACAGTCGCAGATGGGCTTCATTCAGGTCGTGGGGCTAGGGGGATGGACTTCTCCTCCCCACTGGGGTATACATTTTCTTATATACACGCTGGCTCGGATAAACGCCTTAGCTCGCCTGGGGGACGTCGACCTTATATACTTCGTACGGTTTGGCCCCTGATCTGCGGCTGAATGTTTCCTGGCGAGACCTTCTCCGCGGCGGCTAAGTGAGACACAACATCTGGGGAAAACACTCCCCCGACCCGTTCCTTCCACATCACGGGGGCAAAAATGTGGGAATCTGCCTGCATAGTCCGAGAAATAAGCACCTCTAGCTGCCTTTTCAACGTATTACAGCCTGGCTATTCAATCTCCAGGATGGTCCTCCCCGGATGGGGTTTGGCCACGACGTAAATTGTGGAGAGGGTTCGAGGCAGGGGAGAAGCCAGTATCCACACACGTCTGGCTGCTCCGTAGAACTCGTACGAAATCAGAGATATTACTTATGGCCCGGCCCGTCTCTGTCTTCCCTCTCTTTTCCTTCCCATCCGTCTCTCCTGTTGACAGGACACCCCTCCCTTTTCTTTTCCTCTCCGCCGTCGCCCTAGTCCTCCCTCCTGTTGACAGGACCCCTCTGGCCTGCAGATTTTTCCTCTTCTTTTGCGTCTTTACCTCCACCCCTTTCTCCCATACAATGGGTGGAATCCTTCACATCGTCGAGGACCGTCCGACCCCCTCCAATGTCTATAATTGGCGAGTCTATGTACTCGCCCTGATAGCATCATGTGGTTCCAACATGATCGGATACACCAGTGGGTTCATCGGGACGACGATCACGATGCCCTCCTTTGAAAGGGAGTTTGGCTTGGACAAGATGAGCACTCCCCATGTGGACCTGATCAGTGAAAATATTGTCTCGCTTTTCATTGCGGGAGCGTTCTTCGGAGCCCTACTCACGTACGGGCTGTCGAATTTCTTAGGCCGCAAGTGGAGTCTGACCGTGTCTTCGGCCGTCTTCATTCTCGGCGCCGGCCTGCAAATGGGGGCCAATGGCTCGCGAGGGCTCGGGATTCTATACGCTGGCCGGGTCCTGTCCGGTCTCGGCACCGGCGTCGCCTCCAACGTCGTCCCGATCTACTTGTCCGAGCTCGCCCCTCCAGCCATTCGAGGTCGGCTGGTCGGTTTTTATGAGCTGGGCTGGCAAATTGGTGGCATGGTTGGTTTCTGGATCAACGTGAGTCATACTCTTCCGTTCTCTCCCCTCCCTACCGGTGCTATTCCCGCAATGCTAACCTTCTGCTCGACAGTATGGCGTGGAACAAACGATGCCATCGGACCATGAGCAATGGATTATTCCGTTCGCCATCCAGCTGATCCCCTCGGGCATGCTCTTTCTCGGCTCCCTGTGGATGAGAGAATCCCCTCGCTGGCTCCTCCTCAAGGGCCGCCGCGAGGAAGCTATGAATAACCTCTGCTGGATCCGTCAACTCGATGAGCATGATATCTATATCACTGAGGAGGTCGCTACCGTCGACCAAGCCATCGAGGAGCAGATTGCCACTGTTGGCTTGGGCTTCTGGAAGCCGTTCAAGGCTGTTTACCAGTCGCGCGGCCTGATCTACCGTCTCTTCCTCGGTTGCATGCTGTTCTTCTGGCAGAATGCGTCCGGTATCAACGCCATCAACTACTACAGCCCAACCATCTTTGAGAGTCTCGGTGTTTCCGGCAACACTAAGGGTATCCTCAATGGTATCTTTGGTGTCGTCAAGGCGGTCTTCACCGTCATCTGGTTGCTCTTCCTGGTTGACCAGTTTGGACGACGAAAACTCCTCCTCTGCGGTGCCGTCTGTGGATCTGTCTGCATGTATGCCATCGGTGCTTATATCTATATCGTCGAGCCGACGAAACACCCCCGGGACCACCTCAACGGTGGAGGTATTGCTGCCATCTTTTTCTTCTACCTGTGGACCGCCGTCTATACCCCCACCTGGAACGGTACCCCATGGGTGATCAACTCCGTAAGTTACCTTTTCTCACTGAATGCTCTCACGACCACCCGCTGACTCTGGGCGAACAGGAATTCTTTGACGCCAATATTCGGCCGCTGTCACAGGCCCTCACCACCGCCAGCAACTGGCTTTTCAACTTCCTTGTCTCTCGGTTCACCGAGCAGATGTTTGCCAAAATGGGCTACGGCGTGTACTTCTTCTTCGCGTCGCTGTCCTTCCTCGCCTGGTTCTTCGCCTTCTTCCTCATTCCCGAGACCAGCGGTATCCCGCTCGAGGCGACCGACCAACTGTTCGAGATCAAGCCGATCTGGCGGGCGAACGAGCTGCTGAAGGCCCAGCTGAAGGAAGAGGAGGAGCGCTTCCGCCAGGAGGTGAAGGACGGGGCGTTCGAGAAGAATGACCCGCAGGAGCATGTCGAGAGCGCATAATTGTTTGTTTTTCCTTTTGGGTTCGTAAAGACATAGACTTTGTAAATAGATTTAGGGCTCGGGTATATATATCGATCAGGCTTGACCTGCTGGCAGAAACGAACTCGTCTCTTTGGCGCATGTGACCTGTTTCTCGTGTAACGTAGATGCCTAGTAGTCTCGCCGATCTTGCCATCCTCGACACCTCAGGGCTGTTTGCTAGTCGTTAGAGTTCCTAGCCCGGTTTGATGCCCCGTCGAGCACGGAGATCGAAATCACGGCCACTCCGGTGAGTTATGACTACTAACTAGTAAATATGTAACAGCACTCTGATCATCAGCGCACTGCCGCAAACCATCGTTTCCGGAGTGCGTCACCAGCTGATCTTTGTGTGACCTGTGTGACCTGTGCAACCCACCTGGATCCCTGCATGGAGCACACACCTGCATAACCCGTCGCACAAGTTGCATCCGACAGCAAGAAAGTGATGGGTGGGAAAAATAGGTGTTTCTTCTTCACAGCATCGATGCATATTCCAGAAAGTGCCGTGGCTGTCCAGTGGGGGTTGCAGGCACTTGGCGCTTACAGGATGCAGTTTCTCCGAAGTTGGAGCGATCCAACACCCCCGAACCATGGGAACTTGGCCTTACAGGGATTGATTAGATACCTCGTACACTGCAGGCCGCGCCAGAACGACCCGAGGGATTCCGTCTTACATGCCAAGGGAGGGGCCATCTGACTAAGAGGACGCCTGAGCGAGCCAGCCATCGTACCACGGCCACGGTGGCCTCCCAAGACTTCATCCACGGAGCGGGAAGGGTGCCAAGATAGGCAGGCAAGAGAATGTGAAGAGGCGGGTGGAGGGAGGAGACCATTGACAGTTGGGTGGTTCCCCGAAGCATTCTGGACCACATGGCCAACTGATTCGTGCCGGAAGCGTGAGGCAGATACTAGTGAGACATTTTGACTTCCTGAAGGGATTGCCGATGACTAACAAAGGAAGCCAAAAATTCCCAAAATGCAGCATCCGGCGCGGGGTTGATGGTTGGTGGGTGACAACAGACAGGGGACTGGTAAGTGGCCCGTAATGTGTATGATACCGTATTGGGATGGTCCCCCGACTAGCCCACCGCATTATTTGGCGGCCTGGCTTGCACTAGGTCGACTAGTCACCGAGGGGGTTGAGAAGAATCCTTCCCGCACTTTTGAAGATTTGAGGATGGAGGAAGAGAAACAAATATCCTTCGACATGATTAAAAGAGAATCTATGAATCGGCATCGAGGGTGCATCTCAGGGACCGTACTTCTTCTGCTGCTGCTGCCTGGCCACTTCAGAGAGGGCGACCGTTGACCAATCCAGCGCCCACGCCACTTGCTCCGCACGGCTCTTGGCCCGGTCGGCGCCCAGGCCTCCAGGCTTGTCGCGTCTTGTCATCCTGGCCAGTCTTGTCCCCGTCCTCCGCCCGGCTGTGCAAGCGGCCTTTTCTAGGCAAGGCTCGGCTCTGAACCCAAGCCTCCCCCTCTCGGCCCAAGACTTCCTCCCTTCCCTTTCCCCCCCCCTCCTAATTCTCTCCCATCCCTCTTCCTCTAGTCCGTCAATCTAGTTATTTTCCCTTATTACTTTCGTCTCCCCCCCATTTCTACCCGTATCTGACATTTTGTTATCTTACCCTCTCTTGTTTCTCCCCCCCCTCTTCTAAGCCTTTTCTCTCGATCTCCGGTGTCGGTGCACGATATCCATCCCCATTTGTTGCCCGCCACTTCCTCACCGCGTCATCTTGTCGCAGCCTATTTTCTTGTCTTCCATTTATTGACCACCAAGAGTCTTGGTCTACTTGATCGTTTCCTCCCTTGCACCCTTTTGAGGCGGACTCGTGCTGAGTCGCTTGTCTACTTCCGCTGCTCCCAAGAAAGGGACAAGAAAGATTTTTCTTGGCAATGTCGGAACCCCAAGACACCACAACGGCTCCTTCGACGACAGCCGCTCCCATGCCTGCCTCGACCTCCCAAGACTCGCCTCCTACCCAGCAACCCGCCCAGGTGTCCTCAGCGACGGCTGCTTCTGCGGCCGCGACCGCAGCGGCTGCCTCGGCTGCCGTGGCAAATCCCCCCATGAACGGCACCACGACTCGTCCATCTGAGGAACTGTCCTGTCTCTGGCAGGGCTGCACTGAGAAGTGCCCATCTCCTGAAGCCCTCTATGTGAGTTACTCTTTGTTACTCTCTGATTACATGGTCGACCAGCTTCAGGCTACGTGTCGGCTTGACTTATCACATACTTGTTTGGGTGGGTGGCTGACCGCCTCGGCTTAGGAACATGTGTGTGAGCGTCACGTCGGTCGCAAGAGCACAAACAACCTCAACCTGACCTGTCAATGGGGCAGCTGTCGCACCACCACTGTCAAACGCGACCACATCACTTCCCATATACGTGTGCATGTTCCGCTTAAACCACACAAGTGTGATTTTTGCGGGAAAGCGTTCAAGCGTCCCCAGGATCTGAAGAAGCATGTTAAGACCCATGCCGACGATTCAGTCCTGGTCCGGTCGCCGGAGCCCGGTGCCCGGAATCCGGACATGATGTTTGGCGGAGGTGCCAAGGGTAAGTCTTTTCCAGCCTGACTGTTGTGCATTGCCGGCTGACACCAGATTTAGGCTATGCGACCGCTACGCACTACTTTGAGCCCTCTTTGAACCCCGTCCCCAGTCAGGGTTATGCGCATGGCGCTCCTCAGTATTACCAATCTCATGCTCCACCACAGCCTGCGAATCCATCTTACGGCAATGTCTATTACGCCTTGAACCACGGCCCAGAAGCCACTCACGCATCATATGAATCGAAGAAGCGCGGTTACGATGCTCTGAACGAATTTTTTGGCGACCTGAAACGGCGCCAATTCGACCCGAACTCCTATGCCGCCGTGGGGCAGCGTCTGATCGGTCTGCAGAGTCTATCACTTCCCGTGTTGAGCAGTGGTCCCCTGCCTGAATACCAGCCGATGCCTGCGCCGGTGGCCGTAGGTGGTGGCGGATACAGCCCTGGAGGTGCCCCTTCAGCACCCGCCTATCACCTACCGCCCATGAGCAACGTGCGGACCAAGAACGACCTGATCAACATCGACCAGTTCCTGCAGCAGATGCAGGACACTATCTATGAGAATGACGACAATGTGGCCGCCGCCGGTGTCGCCCAGCCCGGGGCCCATTATGTCCACGGCGGCATGAGCTATCGCACCACCCACTCGCCGCCCACTCAGCTACCCCCCAGCCATGCGACAGCCACCACGTCCGCCTCGATGATGCCCAACCCAGCCACTCACTCTCCCTCCGTCGGCACTCCGGCGCTCACGCCGCCCTCAAGTGCCCAGTCGTACACGTCAGGTCGCTCTCCCATCTCCCTGCCATCGGCGGCGCGGGTCTCGCCGCCTCACCATGAAGGAGGCAGTATGTACCCCCGTCTTCCATCCACTACCATGGCCGACAACATGTCGGCCGGTTACCCGACCGCCTCGAGTGCTGCACCTCCCTCCACCCTTGGTGGCATCTTCGACCACGACGATCGCCGCCGGTACACGGGTGGCACGCTGCAGCGCGCTCGTCCGGAGACCCGTCAGTTGAGCGAGGAGATGGATCTATCTCAGGATGGCAAGGACGATGGCGAGCGGACTCCTACGGGCAAAGAGCATTCGGCGTCGACCTCACCTGATCGCATCTCCGTCAGTTTGATTGACCCTGCCCTTTCCGGCACCGCAGCGGAAGCGGAGGCTACCCTGCGGACCGCTCAGGCGGCGACTGAAGTGGCGGAACGGGCGGATGTGCAGTGGGTTGAAAAGGTGCGGCTGATTGAGTACTTGCGAAACTACATTGCATCCCGGCTGGAACGGGGCGAGTTTGAGAACGAGCTGGGCCGGGGCAGCAGCAGCAGCAGTAGCAGCAACAGCGGCGAACGCACTCCGGAGGCTAACCCGGATACCCACATGGAGGGGGTAGAGACTGAGATGCCGGAGAAGTTGGAGGAGCCGGCCGTGAAGCCGGAGGCGGGCGATGTGGTGATGTACCCGACGCTGCGGGCGGTGGACGAAGACGGCGATTCGAAAATGCCTTAAGTGAATCTGCTGGACCCATTTACTACTTCTCCTCTGACTTTGTCTTTAATTCCTTTTGTGCAAGATCTTATGGCTTGCTACGAACTGTCTGGGCGCTTGTTCTATTCCCTGTCCACGTGCACGTGGAATCGCTCTGTAATTGCTTTTGACGGCCATGGGTCGTATATATGACGACCCAGCCCGGGGGTTTTTCCTGTCTTTTCATGTCTCCTATCTCCCCTTCTTTTGCTTTCATCGAACGGTGTTGTGTTTAGGGTGTATATGTCTGGATGGCGCCGCGGAATGCATGGGACGCGGCTCCAAACCCACCTGGAGTCCCATCTGGTCAGTTATTGAACAAACTATACCTGTTCTCCTTTGACTTCTTCCTTGTAAACGTAGACAAACACCTGATTCCCATGCACTCTTGCCCTGGCCAACGCTAGCCAGGCACTGTTTTCGCGAGTCCAGTGGGACCGGGAATTGAGGGTCTGGGCGGGCAAGCGGGCATTCCGAGGGCGAGCCACTAAACTGCACGCGGCGGGCCATGACGCAAACAGGGCGGCGGAGAGTTTGATGGATCAAGTGCAGGGGCAGCGATGGCCTCGAGGAGATACGTTGATCCGCCCATCTCAGACATGGATCAGCAGGGTTGAACGTGCCCGATGCTTCCACCTTGCCTGATCCGGTGGGGGGGTTCTTTTTCCCCAATGGGGAGGAATGGAAATGGAACCCTATCAGGATGCCGGCTGGCGAGTGGGCGAGCCAGGTTCTCGTTTCTGGCACTGCAGTGACTAGATATGAAAATTGTCGTCCCAAACAATGGCGTTCCGCGGGCACCGTGGCTGGCTGGGGGATGCTGTGCCTGTATCTAGCTGGGTCACTGTGGTGATGAAGTCATGTCGGTCGTTCATTCATGATCGGTAGGTAAATAGC